TTTATGAACACCTAGTTCTAGTTATTCATGCACTTTCTCAAAACAGACTGTTCCCAGAGTGTTATCAGATGGTTCTCAAGACTGTTTGCAGCCTTGAACTTCTGAGTTGTGGCTCTGTGTGTGGAACCACAACTGCAGTTCTCTCAATCCATGTTCCATGTGACCTTCTCCTCTACATGTTTGTTTTCTTTTTCAATATGACACACATACCCAATTGTATAAACCATTAATTAATGAGTAACTCCCTAGAATCAAAAGTAAAAACCCGTCTGTGTTTCTGCTCCTCCCCTCCCTGCATCCTGCAGCTAACCACCCAGAGATGATCACTTCCTTAATTTTCTTTATAAAAGTATCAGTACTTGTTGTTGTTTTGTTTTGTTTTTTTAGACGGGGTCTTGCTTTTTGGTTGAGGCTGGCTTTAAACTACCTATATAGCCTGGGCTGGCCTTGAACTTGGGTCTATTCTCTTGCCTCAGGCTCCTGAGTGCTGGGAATGTAGGCATTCACCATGGTGCCCAGAAGGTCTGAATTCTTTAATACCATGTTTACTAGTTTTGAATATTGCATAAATTAAATTAAATTGTTGTCTTACATGGTACTTGTGCTGAAATCATTCTTTTAAAATTTTGTTCATACTCACATGTAGGTCCAGATTCTTTAGTTTTGAACCATTTGGTATTCCACCCTATCCATATAGCAAATGTATATATCTTTTCCATCTTGACAGACATTCAGATTTTCATATTTTTCCCAAATTTGGGCTATTACAAATCATGCTGCTATCAACATTTTCAGATATATATGTTGGGACCCAATACTTTCTACTGTTTATACCCAGGAATGGAATGCTAAGACACAACTATTTGTGTCTGCATACTAGATAAATATTGACCTATTCCTCAGAAACAGGCAGCCTTAATTTGTATATAAGAATTTTTATACTCTACCTTGTATGTCAAAATGTTTGCAAAATGCTTGTACTGATTGACACATCCAGTGCGTGTGAATGACAGATCCTACTGTTTCATGTGCTTGACAGTATTTGGGATGATTGGACCATTCATTTCTCTTTTATTCTTGCTCTGGAATTTTCTATTCTCTTATTTATTCTTGTTCCAGTGTAGAAATTTATTTCAATCTATTAGAATTCACCAATTCTTTCTTCATCTAGTAATAAAGTCAGTCATTATGTTCTTAACTTTAGTCATTGTCTTTTCTAATTTTCAGGTTTTTATTTGGTTCTTTTTCAACTCTATCTATTAGAATTCACCAATTCTTTCTTCATCTACTAATAAAGTCAGTCATTACGTTCTTAACTTTAGTCATTGTCTTTTCTAATTTTCAGGTTTTTATTTGGTTCTTTTTCAACTCTGTGATAGCATGTTTTTGTAGTTTCCAGTATTGTACCAATTAAAGAAAAAATTCCCTGAACCAGACGTGATGGCTCATGCCTATAATCCCAGCACTCAGGAGGCTGAGACAGCAGGATTGCTGGGAGTTCAAGGCCAGCCTGGGGTCAAAGTGAAATCATCTCAAAGAGTCCAGAAAAAAAAAAAAAGAAAGATAGATTTGCCCTTTATTTCTTTAAATATAACAAATATAAATGCATCTGAAAATTCTAATATCTGAACTCCAATGATCTATTTCTCTCATCTGTTATGTTTATTAGTTCTAATATCTAAAGTATTGTTTCCTTACATCTGATGTCCTTGATTTTTATTTAGTGAATTCTACTCAATAGTTATTGGAAGGAGGAATGTGAGTCCTAAAAATTAAGATGCTTTCCATAAAAGGAGAATTTGGTTTTGTTTTAGTATGTTTTTCCTGTCAGGCATCTAGTAAATTCTTAACTTTATTAAAATTTTAAATAAATCATGCAGTCTTTTAATCAAAAGGACTGAAAAAATTAAAATTTGGAAAGGTGTAGATGAAGTACAACAGGTTTTGATGACTTCCTTTTCTGTAAGTTATTTTGTGATTTTGAGCTGTAACAGTTTGTTCCTAAGTCTTTGCATCTATTAAGAAATACACAACTGATAACCCCAGATCCTTATTTTTCTTTTTTTGGTTTCCGCTATCTTCCTTTGTTTTCATTTTGGTATCAGTTATGGTAGGTGTTGCTTTTGTTTTGTTTTATATTGTTTAGCACCTTTAGTACTCATTTCCCCTACTGTTAAAATTATTTTAAAAGAGGTACTGATAACTTTTTATTTTATCTCTCCCTATATAGAATGTAGTATCTTTATGCAGTAGCTGCTCAACAGATGTTAAATGGATAAGTCAATGAGTGAATAAATTTTGGAAATAGGTACATGTATAAAAGTGTTTAAACCAAGTTAAGTGTTGTCACAGAGAAAAAAACAAGTATTTTTCCTCTATTATATTTCCCAGAGCTTCAGTCTAATTTCTGTTGCTGTTTACCTGTCTAATATATTAGCTGATTGTGCTCATAGAGAACAACTCGCCTGACTTAGAATTTATGAATAGTGATCCAACTCTGTAATAGAGTTTAAAAATAAGGCTTTAAAAACATTGATCCAGAAGAAGAGTGATAGGATGTTATAAAAGTTTATTTAGGGCATAAAATTTAAGAGGCATGTTCATCAATAATTCATCAACTTTCTTTAAAAGGACCCTTACTATAACCATTTTTACTCTGCACTTTTAGTCAATTCTGGTTGACATTGCGAGGTAGGGATTTTGACAGCAGCCCAGGGTAAGGGATCTATTTATCTAGAGATTTACTTACAAACAAAGAATTCAAATCATTCTTGGAGAACTTCAACATATATTAATTCAATATAGTAAACAACTGCTCTAAAGATATGTGAATAAAAATGAAAAGGAATCAGTAATAGTTTATATAAAAGTACATACACTGGGATATTCTTTTTCCATATGTATCACTTGGCTGTGCAACAGAGTTAACTTCTGACTTTTCTAAGTGTCTTTTACCACAAAGAATTTATTAAATTTCTGGTGATTATATTAATGCCAAACTTAGAGGATTTGTTAGTTTTTTTAGGATCCATGAAAATAGAGAATGTTTATGACCCCAAATTGCTGGTAGAAGCAGTCAAATAAGATCTTTCAGGAGCACTTCGCAGTTGGTATGTAGACATGAGTTGATAAAAGGTCATAATTTCGAAATGAATAAATGCCTGATTTCTGTGACTAGCATTTATAGCATTCATTATAGAACTGCCTGATCTTATTTGCAGGCTCTCTGAGGCTGATCTTAGTTTTAGAAGCCCTTTAATCTGTCCAATTCTAATGAACTCAAGATCTACTTCATTGTATTGGCACAAGCCACAGCCATTTGCTAAGTCTGTATTTTGCCCAAACAGCTAAATGAAAAGTAGAAAATTCTGCCAATTGTCTGGAGATTTTATTATAAAATTTAAAATATATAAATAAAGTGGAGCTATCAAAATGTGCTGAACATTACATAAAACTTTAAAGGATTGACTGGATTTTTCCTTTTAATCCATACATTATAACATGTACCTCAAACAAGTCAGGATTACTAGAAATTTTATTCATTCTCAAAACTTATCTAGTGATCTATATTCATTATCATGAAATACTATTACACCAGAAAAATGAGTAGCTTAATAACATAAATTAGAATCTCTCTCTTTTTTTTTTTTTTTTTTTTTTTTTTTTTTTTTTTTTTTTGTTGATACATTTCA